ATCCATCCATCCATCCATCCATCCATCCATCCATCCATCCATCCATCCATCCATCCATCCATCCATCCATCAAACTACAGCCTTTTCTTCCTCTTGTCTTCCATCGTCCGTTCATCCGTCTTTTTGTCATCCATCTGTCCATCAGGTCATCCTTTACTGTCCATCCATCCATCAAATTATTGTCTATTCATCCTTTTTGTGTTCATCTGTCCATCTGTCCTTTAAATCTTTTGCTGTTCTTCCATCGCTCCATTTCTCCTTTTGCCATCCATCCATCTATCCATCCAATTATCATTTTTCCAGTCATTTTCTAATCAAGGCATTTAGCTACATTTAAACTAACATTTGTTTCATGAGATTTCAAAGATGTAATATTTTCTCTACACTGTTCTGCTACAGAAATAAGTTTTGTCTGAACTGAGCGACCAAGAATAAATTGCCATCTGTTTGGATTTGTCATCCTTCTTACAAACCAGTTAGTATTTAGAAGCAACGTTGTTTCATCAACTCTGTTGTCACTCAGAATTTCTTCATTTTCTCAAATTACTACAAGAAAATAAAAGTTAACTTGTATTTTTCCTCCAAATAGTCATCAGACTTGTTTTGGATTTGTACTAATAAAACCAAAATACCTTTCCACTGTTATTGAAATGTGTTCGTTACCATTTAAGTTTTTTGTTTTTCACACCTTTTCTTACGTCTGGATTTTGATTTGACTTGGTGAATATTGTGTCTTCCGTCCACCAGAACCTTTTTGCTTTTGGGGACGTCGATGGGAAGGGGGTGGATGCCAAGTTGCAGCATCCCCTCGGTGTGGCCTGGTCTGCCGAACAAAGCCGGCTCTATGTGGCCGACTCCTATAACCACAAGGTAAGCGAGGCTCGTCACAAGGCCCCACCATCAGCGCTCTTCATATGTTTAGCGGTTCTGGCGTCATTCTAGTTTCCTTCAGGCCTGAAAGGTTACAGAAAGTTTCTAATTCTCACTCAAAGCATCATAAATTGACTTTAATGCAGACTTTCAAACAAGGCCTAAGAAGAGTAGAATTTAAAAGTATTTCTTCGGTCTGAATAAATATGGAATAATATAAAAATGACAAACTGTATTCTTTGTTCCTTTGTCTAAATGTTGCATCTGACTATCGGTCCTGTCTTTTCTCTACTCCTTTGTTCTTTCCTTTTGTTCTTTTTGGGTCTTTCTTTTGCTCTTTCACTCTACCTCTCTTTCTTTTGCTCTACTTTCTTTTTTCTTTTGTTTTGTTATTTTACTCTTGTTCATACATTTTTACTTCTTTCTTTTGTTCTTTTGTTACTTTTGCTCTCACTCTGATTCACTCTGTTCTTTCTTTTGCTTTTTCTGTCTTTTGCTTCCTTTTGCTATTTCAGTTGTTCTCTCATTTTTTCTTCCTTTTTCTTGCACTCTCTTCCTTTTACTATTTTGCTTTAACTTTGTTCATTCTTTCCTTCCTTTCTCAGTCCTTACCGTCCTTGTTTTCATCTTTTATTCATCTTTCCTCACTCCATTCATGAAAATTTTTTTTTTTATTTTCGCTGGTATTTAAAGCCTGACCTCTGTAAAAACATCAGCAGTAAATTTGTGCAGAACGTTAATATTTAAATTTTAAAAATTATCCAAAAGTGGACTAAGAGCTTAACTTTGACCATTTAAATTTTTGGGAATGTACTGGAACCCTTTCTAAGGGTAACCCTCCTTTAATTTGCCTCATTGTGCTCAGATCAAGGTGGTGGATCCAAAGACAAAGCAGTGCACCACGTTAGCAGGGGCAGGAGAAGCTGGAGATGCTCTGGGCCCCCAGTTCACCAAAACCTGCTTCAACGAACCAGGAGGAATCTGCATCAGAGGGAACCTTCTTTACGTGGCCGACACCAACAACCACAAAATCAAAGTTCTCAACCTGGACTCCAACAGCGTCTCTCTGGTCAGACTTGTGTGTGTGTGTGTGCCTGTGTGTTTGTAACCTTGAGCAAGGACTTTTACATTTTGTTTGTGTTTGTGTAATTAATCTTTCCTAAAAGCGTTTTGCCCTCTGCGTTTGGGTAAAAGGTGACACAGAAAAGAACAATGTGAGCGTAAGTAGCTTTCTCCTTGCTCTGCATTAATCCGAACACCTAAATCTGTCTCCCGACCAGCTCCACATCTCCACTGAGTGCACAGACTCAGCATCTGTGAAGCCTTTGGGAGTCACCAAAGTCCCCACGCTGCCTAAATCAGCTGCCAGGAAGGATTTGCCTCCAGTTACGGCGTCGGCAGGCCAGACTGTCATCCTGTCACTCACTATGTCGCTTCCAGAAGGAGTGAAACTCACCGACGAGGCGCCCAGCTGCTGGGCGCTCTCAGCTGAGGGTAAAATATTAACAAAACATTCTCTCTCTCTTAAAAAATGTTTTTATTCCTACTAATCTTCGATTTCACGTTTAAAAAATAATCATCCTTACATTGCATTGTATGCTGTTTAAAATGCATTTAAAACCAAAGTTAGTTTTGCTCAATAGAAAATCTTTACTGCACTTCTGCAAGATTACTTGGGTATTTCTCTTCACTTGTGGGTTTTATTAAAGGAATTTGAATGAATATGACTAAAATGGACATGTAGGAAATCCCAAATATTAGGACTGGTATTAGGGATGCACCAATACAAAAAATTTGAGCCAATGTTGATAGCTGATATTAGTAATGGTTAGTAATGGTGTTATGGGGGTTAACTGATATTTATTTCACTCACCACTGTTTAGAGACATTTGGAAAAAACCCAACCAGAAACGGATAAAAATAAATAAAGGTTGTTTGTATTAACACAGTTTCATACTGATATGTTAAAAAATTAATAATATTGGCCGATACGATGTTGGTGCTGATGTATTATGTAACCCTAGATGGTAAACAATGAAGAAAGATTAAAATTTATTTTTGCTCATAAATTTTTTATCACAAGAAAATACCACATTGCCCAGACTTTCCAAATCAAGTCAGAACAACATTTAAAAAGTTAAAAATAACTGGAGCAATGACAAACTGGTTTTGACCCAAGTTTGTCTGTCACCATGCGTTGAGCAGGATGCTAAATTAAGGCCTTAAAAAGTCTTACATCTCTTTAAGAAAATGTAAGTTGGCCTTAAATAACTTAAAAACAGGTCTTGACTTTGTCATGGCAGAACTATTTAATTTATTTACTCTATTTAGACTGCTGGACTTTTCTATCGGGTAAAAGTTTGAGTCATGCGCAGACATCACTCGCTGCTTTCTGTGACTCAAGGCGGTAGGCTACCAGTAAAAAGCTGCTAATCTTGCTAATCTAGAGAGCTACATGCCATGTGAGAAGCACAAAGCTGCTGCTTAGAGCCATGAAATTGTAGTTTTCGTCCCCTGCTTTTCTTTTGTACATTTGTCTTCCTGCCAGATCTTAAATTTTATTCATAATGGTCTTAAATTTTGGAAACTTGCATAAACTCTGAAGAGGTAAAGCACCGATAGACTTAAGCTATAGTTTGAAATGTGTATGTCTTTTCTTAAGCACTCTTGTGATCAAATACTGAAAAATAATTTTTGCTTCATAAACATATAAACCAAGTGCATAAATAATCAGATGAAATATCAGGGATTTTCTTCATTTTCTAACTCTGTCAGCACATTTTTCTCTTATGATTTACAGTCCCTTGGAAAAAAAATATAGAAAAATCCTATTTGTTCAAAACAGTAACCAGCTAGTTGGACCTCAAGAAAAAGTGAAAGTCGCTTGCTAAGTCAGGTGGTTGGGTGTTAGGGCAGGCATTCATCCAGCAGCCTGTTGTGTTTTTGAGTTAAAAATTTTTTTTTGACAGGAAATTAGAAAATATCACTTGATATTTATGTACTATTGAAAGATTGGAAGATTAATACCTGTACACCAACTATATCGTCTTAAAAAATGCAAACATTTTAAAAATATTTAAATAAATAAGCAATACTCAGCCTGGTGGGGGCACAATTAAAGCCTGGTGGCCCGCCAGGCTTATAATACACTGAGGGACAATCTGGGTTAGAAAACCCCTCATCGGTGCCTCTATTGACAAACATTTGTTCTTATTTTAGAACTTTTTACATATTTTCAGTAAATGTGGAGGAACATTTATAATAATGTCCTGCAAACTTTAAGTTTCTATTGTTGGGTATTATTTGATTTCACTCATTTAAAGTGGTCTTACTCACCCAAACTCTTTCCGACCCCAAGATAAATACATCATACACAAACACACCTTCTAACTTGTTGAAATCTAAAAAGCTGTTCTCCTATTTTGTAATGACCCTACTGTGGAGTTCTGCGTTCTCCTACATGCTGTTATTTTGGTCCGTTTTCTATGATTCTGCCTATAAAAAAAGAAAAGTGGATGTGAAATGAGGCTTAACCTCTATTTCACCGTTCAACAAGCAGCGCTTCTCTCTCCCAGCCTACACCTGGGACTCTCAGCCAGCGGATGGAGAATTACTTAAATCACTTTTCTGAACCACTGATGAAGATTCATGTGTGTTTTTTTTGCTTTTTTTTTTTTTTTTAAAGTTCTCAGCATATTTCTGAGGTAATCAGCCACAGTTTGACCCCAGAATCAGGTGTGAGGTGATGCTTTCAGATACAACACGAGTGACGGCTGACGGTCCGATCATTGGGTTCGGAACTAAACTGTTTCCATCTTTCTGAGTGACGCAGCGTGCAGTCAGCCGTATCAGCAGCCTATTTTTAGCACTTTTTGATAAGGCGACATGCCTCGGTTCACATAATTAGCCACCAGGCTATGTTATGTGATCCTCCGCTGTCCCATTATGCACAGTCTAGACTTCTGCTGATCGGATCAGCAGCGAGGCAGGAATTTTAATGGATCAAGTTAGAGCTGTACGCCAGATCTAAATTGTTTTTTTAAAAAACGTGTTTTAGAAATGGCTTCTGTGGGACCTCATGTAAGGCCGTGGCTTCATTAATCACTGTGAGCATGGATTTTGTCGTCTCTCTGGGTTCAGAGTTTCTCACAGTAGAAACTCCAGCCTTCCCTTTTGAGCTTCTTACTCATTTTTCTTTGCTAAAAATGTAAATTTGCCTGTAGAAGTACAGCCATTGTGTCAGAAAATAAATGTTCCTACACATTTTAGTGCTCTGTTTGGCAGTGATGGGAAACGCTGAGGCTCCAGTCAACAGGCAGCGCAGTAAATCTAGGCGTAGGGCGGATTGGCGCTTTCACACAGACCGAACTTGGTCTAAACTCCACTGGATCTTGTTTTTCCTTGTGCTGTCAGAGTGTCTCTGGGGACGGATTGGCCCGTCGAAGGCTTGGCACGCCACCTGAGATAAATTTAGCAACCGTTTGCTATGTGCCATCTTGTTTTGGGCATATATATTCCCAGATTGTAATGATTGTAATGTTTGCCAGGCGTTTTGATGTTAACTGTGAGTTGTCACTGCTGATTTTGCATGTTTTTCTTCTGGAACGCCCAAGAAAACGTGTAATAACATCATCATCTGTTAGATTAATTGCTTTTGTTTTAGTCTTTGCACACAAAGCTATATTTTTCTCCATCTTATGACATCATCAGTTACTCAGTATTCAAGGAGCCTCTGTATACAGCAAACTTTTTTAATCTTACTTGAGTACAATCTTAGATAAATGCATATAAGTGCATTTATCTAATCTTATCAGACACAAAAAATCTGTTCTGCCTGATTGCCCCCCACCCAGTCTGACTGACTCCAGCATAATGAATAATTTTGAGCGTCTTATTAAACCTCACATCATGCCTGGACTTACTTTGCTTGATTTGCCCCAGCTGGCTTATCACCCCAACTGCACCATCGAGGATCCAAGCTTATTTTTTACCATTTTATTGCGTTTTTGTTTCATATGTGTTGTCATTGTTGCCTTACGTTTCTTAAACAAACCACCCTTAAACTTCAGATTGTGGCAAATCAAAACATCTACAGAGCTGCTCATGTACTGACTAAAGTCTCTTATGAATGTTTGCTGGAAGAAGTTTACTATAAAATATCTTAAAGCACATTTTATCTTAATTCCAAATGTAATTTAACCTGTTTCAAGGAAACTGAAAGTGTTATTTATTTTTTTGCTGTTATTCCCACACTGCATTTTATGTTAATTTTATTCTATTTTACACACACATCAACCACCATTCAAATCTCTTTTGCAGTAGTATGAATGTTGGCTTTGAAAAAAGGATGTTATAAAACATTTAAGTTCTTTTATTCGTATTTTTGGATGCCCTTTTTCTTTTTAAGAAGAAATGTGAACTTTGTGTAAAGATTAAAAAATTAGAATACCTTGTCAGAAAGATGTGCATCCTGTGTATAGTGCATAATAATGAATTAATTGTGTAGATATAATTTGGAAAGTGTAGGATTTGTGATATAAGTAAAAATTAGCAGTGGATATATATATATAACGTGGGACATATGTGGACGAGACAATTAGGGATGGGATTTATTCAACTGTATATGAAGTTTTATAGGGATTATATTTGATTTTTATTTTATTTTTTTCTACTTGTTTGAAATAAAGATTAGTCTAGATGCGCTTAATGTTTTTTATTAGGCCTTTATTGTGTCTAAAATTACTCACAATGAGGTAAATATTTTACATCTGACCAGTTTCTGAAAAAAAAAACTCCAAGACTTTATTAATAGTATCCTTTTAATACTTCTTCTTCCTCCACTTTAATGCCAAACTATGTGACTTTTGATGGATTTAAAGCTTCAAGGAAGTCAATTATTTATAATTCTGACTTTTCTTTTTCTGTTTTTCAGGTAACGAGTGGCTGCTGGAAAACCAGGTGGCGTCCGGCAGCATCGTGGATTTGACGCAGCCGCTCCGGGTGTCAGCCAAGCTTCCCGCCGCCGTGAGGGAGTCGGACGGAAACCCCGACCTCAGGTTGAGCGTGTGGCTGTTTTACTGTTTGGAGGAAGGTAAAGCCTGCACTATGAAAGCCGCCTCGTTCAGCCAGCCTCTTCAAATAAACGCCAGTCCTGGAGACGGAGAGGTCACCGTGGCGTTCGCCCACTCCTTCTAAAACCAGCCGCACGGCTCTCAGGTTAAGGTTTTGTTTACAGTTTTGAAAGAAGAATGGTGATTTTTACTTTTTAGGCAAACAAACTGCTCAGAATCTCCTAGAAGTAAACATAAACCAACTGCTTTGCATTGATAGTGTAAGTTTGCAACTAGCCTGATTAACAGTAGAACAGCATTTCATGTTAGTTATTGGAACATTTGTTAGATTTGGATAAAATGTATGCATTTTTTATCATGCATTTAGCAGGTGGTGGTGGTGAAATAATATTTTATATTTAATCCAGATTATTTATATTGCTAAAAATCAGAACCTTGTAAAGCATCTTTTTTTTTTTTTAACTCAAATCCACTTCCAGATGCTTCTGTTTCTATAAGAGATCGATTTACATGTAAATCTTGTGAAGAGAGTATTTTGTATAACTACTAAAATGTAATTACTGAGCAGTTTCTGAACCCATTTCTCCCAGAACCTGATCTGATTTTTTTCTTTCTTTTTTCATCAGCTGTGTGACGAACTTTTCAGAAAAAAGGAATAACAACGAAAGAAGGATATTTAATCGAGCTGAGTTATGATTCAGTTTCTTTCTGCCTTTGACCGTGAGAGAACACCTTGTGAATACTAATACAGAGATATGACCGTTTTCCCTAACATGAAAAAAAACAAAAGAAATTCAGGGCCTTTCATGGGCTGTTGGAGTAGGAAACCAGAAATATCCACTGCACCGTTTAATCTGATCAAAATGAAAGACGTGAACTTTATGCACCCATGATGTATTAAAATTATCTATGCAGACTCACATTTTATCATGTTAATGGACTCCAGTGTTAGATTTTTTATAATTATATTTGCAAAAGTATTCACACCCTCTGAATTTGCTTCAAATCTGCATCCAAAAACTTTAGTGTCGCTCTAATTTGATCAAATCACCTCCGTATTTCCCAGATTTGTTTAGCTGGGAGAGGGGAAGAAACAAATTATGTTTCATTATCCTGCTGCTTCATTTTTATGCATCACGAGGAGATTGTGTAAAGCATAAAATCCCCATAAAACAGAATAAAGTTCTGTTTGTAATTTCCTCCTCTAACAAAATGTCTTCCAGTATTGTTCTGCGTTTAGCTCCATCCTTCTTCCCATTCTCTATCTTTACTTGGAAATTAAAGGATCCCCCTCACCATAATGCTGCCACTACTGTGTTTCACGTTAATAAAATACATTACGGTTTGTTTTTATGTGACAAAATGTGAGAAAGTTCACGCGGTGCGAGTACTTTAACAATGCCCTGCGAGTGTTTGCTACAGCTCTTCCTGCTGCGGTGCCTTCTAGCTGCATGCTAATCTTGCGTCCGTAAATATTTATCTTCTTAACGCCGTGCATCGCCGCAGACCGGCTCTCGGAGTCTGAATGGTCACACTTGTCCGACGTCGGGATCTGTGCGACTGATAAAAACTTCTGCTTGTGATTATCTGTGTCACGGGGCGCCGCTTTGATTCAGACCGTTAAAATTAAGCTGCTATCTGAGTGATGAATACAGTTCCTGTTTTCAAAAAGCCGCGGCGTCTCCCCTGCGAGCCGACGACACCTCGAGTCTGCCGCCTGCTCCGCCACGCTGCGCGTTATTACACCGAGAAGACAAAGTCTCATTCAAATCATCTGCTTCACAAAGGGAGCGTGATATGAAAGACAGACTCTAATAAGGAGCCGCTGGATCGCTCTCTGTTGCGCAATAAGATATGATAATGTGGACGCTGTTATTTTGTCTGTATTGCTTCTCAAAGTTACGGCCTGCTGTCGGAAGCGGACCTCGGGGTGTTTTTTTCTTTTATCCCCATCGCCTCGCGTGGCGTTATTGTCGGAATCTGGTTCTGTTGTTCGGATCGTTCGGCCCAAGTGCCTTCCAGAGGTCTAAACTGATGACACTTAACTGTATCTGAAGCAATAACAATATACTGTAATAGGAGAAAGTGCTTTATTCCCACATGTTATTTATTTGAAATGAGCTGCTCGAGTTTTCTGATCCGTTTTCTGTCATCCCTCCAGGATATTTTTTTTTAATGAATTGTAATGGCTTCGAATGGCTGTTGGTGAGATTGTTTTCCCAACTTTTTAGACTCGTTTGATGCATTAAATTGTCCACAAATTAAAGCGAAAAATACCTAATAAACGTATTTATATACTCTGTTTGGAATCTGCTTATTGTCTTCTGAGAGTTGGAGGAGAAACCGGATTTTCTCCACCTCGACTGGAGCCGTAACAAAACGAGAACGCTGCGCCTCTGCTGAGATTTTGTGCAGACAGGTTTTGAGAAATGTTCTGATTTGTGATAGATTTCATACTTTTCTCAAAGCCAGCTCATTTTCTCCTCATCTGTGGAGTCTGACTCCAATCCAGCTGCACCGACTCAAAGTGGCTGGAACAGAAAGGAAAAGTGTGGAATTTAAAGTGTGAATTTTCCACGTCTGAATTAATTTTGAGTGATATTTGTGATAATAGACTTTATTCTCTGTCTCATTCATCCATCTATGGTTCACATTTGTTTATCCATCCATCTTTTTGCCTACAACTATGTGTTTGTCTGTCATTCATCCAGTTTGAATATCAGTTTCTTCCTTCGCTCATCTTTCCTTGCTTGTTTTTTCCCCCCTGGTTTATTTTTTATTTATTCCCGCTCTTTGTTGCTGTGAGGGTTTTCATGTTTTGTTTGTTGCAGGCTTTTGAACTTTTCCTTCCTGCCTATCTAATCAACCACAGTCAATTTTTATATTTACACTTTTTAAAAAGGTATAAAATCCCTAAAAAGTCTTGAAATGTAGATTTTGTCGTAAAGCAGCTGCATTTATTGCTGAGATTAAATTACACACTGTTAGACTTTATATCAAATTATACTCTACTTACTAATTTATTTAGTATTATTGATGCAGTTGGGATTTTATTTAGGATTAGTCAAGTAAACGGGGGATCGGTACAAATAAACGCCGTAGTTTTAGATTTTTTTCAGCTGAAAACTGAGCGTTATTTTCGATCGACTTCACCATTTTGCTCGAGTTTGGATCGATCGCATTAAGTCCAGAGAGATGAAACTCTGCAAGATTTTTTATTTTTAATTCTTTTGGGAAATTAGGCTTGAAAACCAAACAAGTTTATATTATTTTCCCACAAAACTGAACAGAAAAATATTTAAATTAAGAACAGTTTCAGTGCAACCCTCCTAAGGAAGACTTTACACGTAGTAATGAAAGGATATTTAAACAAAAATGATTGCTAATTAAAACACCATTCGTTTTCATTTTGTAGTCAT